AATTTGTCGCCAATTTTGTGATAACGACAAGCTCAATGTTAATAAATGGACATTAAGAAATTGAATACTTAAACATCAACAAAACAAAGAAAAGTAAACGCAATTAAAAGCACAAATTTGAGATATTGTTGTCTGTGCGCTTCTTGATTGACAAATGCGTCGCGTTTGTCGTTCTGCCACCAATTTGCGATTATTAAAATTTCCGTTTGTATGTTGTTGTACTTAGTATTGCGAGAGGAAGTAAACGGAAGAAGCACAAAGTACAATTTGAATAGCCATCAGAATTGGGTTTGAAATTGCGCGCGCGTAGGTCAAGAGCAGCTGCATTTTTGTTGCCTATTACTAATAATAATAACAATAAATATCATTGTGGCCATTGCCAGGCCACAACTTAAAAGAAATGTTGCTAATAGAAAGCATTTATTTATCTACGTGCAGGACATAAACCGCAAAAACACCAAACAACCTAAACAATAAAAAAAAAAAACAAATTGTGTGCATACATGCATACATACATACATACATACATATATGACAGCACAGGCACAGGCACAGGCACAGCAAAATAAAAAAGAACATCAACAACAATGACACCCGCTAATATATCTGTAGCGGCAGCGTCTGCGGCTCGGGTCGTTGCCGTTTAACTGCTTCTCTCTATCTCTCTCTCCCGCTCAGTCTGTCTTTCGCTTTCTCTATGTTTTTATGCTGCTGTGTTTTTTGTTGTTGCTGTAGTTTTCATGTTGCTTTATGCTGTTTCATTCTGGGCGTCGCTGCTGCACGAGTTCGTTGCTCGTTGTATGCGAGCATGTGTGTGCGTTTGCGTGTTTACAAAACTGTAAGAAAAGCGGAGTGTGTGAAAACTATGATTAACGCGGAATTCTACCGCAACGAGACATCAACAGACACAGACACACACGCACACACCACACCTAACCACAGAATCACATTTGTGTTTTGCTGCTGCCGTTTCTAAAATCTTACCGGTTTTTTCTTCTTTTTTTTTTTGCGTAAAAACAACGCGCAAAAAACAAGTCCTACTAGTTTTTGTTGTTGAATGTGTGCAAAAGAGACAGAAATGTCTCCACTTAGTTGCGACAAGAACCAATTTCGAGGTGTGTTTGATAGGGCGTATGTTTGTGTGTATTGGTGTGTGTGTGTGCGTGAGAGTTCAAGTGCATGCATCTGTGTGTGTGTTTATGTCTACACTTCGCCGTGTAGGGAGAGTATATATACACATATTTTTTCTTTTTAGCTACTCGTCTGTGTATGTGCATATGTATGCGCGCGGGAATGTTGTCAAGAATTCTAAGAATTTGGCTCAAACAATCGGGGAGCGGGCAATAGCACGAGTATAAATTATGACAAATAATTGACACTACGAATACTTCAATATTTAGAAACGTTTTTGTCGAATTAAATGAGCATATAAAATATACTTTAAATTATTAACAAGTAAACGCAATACATGTGACTCGATTTTAGGAATTAAGAGTTTTTGAGAACATTTTTAAATCACTTTTATTAACTAAACTTTCATAAACATATTTTTGTTTTCATTGATTACCAAAAAATAAATCTATGAGAGAAATTGAAAAACAAAATCACTTGGCATAAAGCCGAACCGACGCCGCCAACAGCAGCCCAGAAAACACGACCGCATCGCAAACGCTGTGAAAGACAACTGCACAAAACGTAGCTAACGAAAGCAAAGAGCCAAAGCAGAGCGTGGCCAGACTGCTTAAATGAGAGACCAAAGTAGACGCCAACGCTGTTTTCCTTTTCTCTCAGTATATGTATGTGTTTATTGTCGGCAGCTCGTACACACACAGCACAAATGCGGCAAAATAGCATAAATAACAACAACAACATACGAGTTGGGGTCTGTTGTTTTTGTTTTGGTGTTGCCAGAACGTTTCGCACGCTATAGTAGGATCAACATGTTGACGCGCCGCCACCGACAAGCTTGGAGGAGTAAAAACACACAAACAAGAAGCGACGCAGCGCGGCGGTAAATAGCAGGTAGACAAACGGGACGAACAGGATGGCAGCCAGACTCCGACGACAACATTTTCTGCAGCTACTTGGAGCTTGTTTTGGTCAATTCGTAGAAATCTGGTCGATGCGCAGGCGCGCACGTAAACAACATTCTTTAAGGCATTGCATTGGGTCTGGGTTTTTTTTTTTTTTAATTTGTACGCGCCAAAACGAAACGAGGCCGTTTACGCGCGCCAAGGATGTCGATGTTGCCAGATAGTCGCAATTATTGTTTCGAAATAATGCCTTCATTTAAAGATTGCCAAATTGGTTTGTCGTTAGAAGCATTCCATCAAAAGGCCACAACCGAGATCTATTATTTTGAACATATCTGATACCTGTCTGTGATCAGTATCTGAAAGATTTTCAAGGGAGCTAGTAGTTATTGCACTTGTGCGCATTGAACCTGAGCTAAACAAACGTACGCAACGCAGTTGAGTAGAAACATTTATTTTAAGTGACTACAAAAAATCAATAAAATTATGCTGCAAACATTAAGCGCCACGCACACAACAATCAAGCTCATCGTAGTTTGGCATTGACGGTAAAAGGTCATGTGAAAAAGTTGCCAATTTGAGATTGGGGCTGGGTCGTCCAGTCTGGGTCGCGAGACGGTTGTTTGACTAGACGACAGCCAATGCAAATTGTAACGGTAATCATTAGACGAGCACACACAGACGCAGGCATTCACTACACTCGCGCTCTCTCGCTTTATTTGCATACTGCTCTCTATGTAGAGTTCGACGGCCTTCTTACGTAAAGACAGCAAAAACAACACAACGCGCAGCGGCACTTTGCTTCTTTCTAATAAGCAAACAAAGGGGAGCCGGGAGGATGCCGGCGTTGCCACATCGGCCGAGACAGAAAACTCGTTTTTGTCCGTACTCTTGCCTGTCTTTGCAACTGTACAAGAACAAAACAAACTACAACAACAAAAAACATACCGCGCAGACGCCAAACGAACGCTCCCCGTTGAACTGTCCGTCTGTTCGTCGGTCGTTTTAGCCCGCCCGTCTCACTGTGTGTGTATATATACATGCATGTATCTGTGTGTGTGCGTGTGTGTGTGTGTGCGAACAATTTTTATTTTTCTGAATGTAAAGGAAGTGGCACGTACTGTACATAGCTCTCCGCCGCTGCCTGCTGCTGCGACTGCGACTGCTACCGACAAGGGATCAAACTATGGAGTGAGAAAAAAAATACAGACGACAACGACCGACGCTATAGTGATGGTGGTGGCAAGCTAAGACGACCTGAGCATGGGGCCGAAGCTGACGGCGGACGGGTGTGTGCAGCATACCTACTATAAACAGGAAATGGAATTTACACACACATATAAACACACACACACACACGCAAAGCGGCAAATTGTTGATGAGCGTACAAGCGGACGTGCTGCTTAATTGACAAATGGGCACAAGAGAGAGTGGCTGAGCCTGAGAGAGATGGAGAGAACGGACAAAGTTGATTGAAATCAATAGTCACCGTACAAGTGTTTGTATGTATGTATGTATGTATGCCTGACAGCGCGAGGAATGTGTGAAAAAACGCGGCCAATGACGGCAACGGCAATCAAACGACGTTCGCTGCCGCCTATACTATGTTAAATTCTGGAATGTCCAAGTATCTTCTGGTCGCGTGGAGACTTTTACGTTGCCGACGCGTTAACGTCTTTGCACCTGACACGCGCAGGCGAAGGCACACCCTGTACCCAAAAACGACAGCAACTGTCTTCATACTGGCTCCACCGTTGTTTGGACGCACAATTGCAATTATTACAGGTTGCACAATCAGCACCGTTGATTGCTTACAAAAAATGCATAATCGCATACTAACGTACATATGTATGTATGTATAACTCAAGCATTTGTGCGCAATGGCAGCGTAATTGTAGATGGCAAACGTACTACTTGTGCGTGTAGTTTTTACTCGAAAAAGAGCAATGAATGAAATTTCGTTGTTTTCTGTTAATACAGTCGCACACACTCACACACCCACACATACATACATATGTGTATATTTGGAGCAAGAGAGAAAGTCTACAATACGTCGAGACAGCGAACGCGTTGCCAACTGCGTAGACAAATTGTTTACTTTTCGCTTGCCGGCTACGAACACAAAGTGGTTTAATTAAACGGAGCCAAACACACAAAAATATGCAAAACGAAAAAAGAAATAAATAAATAAAACAATTACTACAATAAATGGAGGTTACGGCCGTTGCCGCGCACTAACCTACATTAATGTAAGAAAAAATGTGGCTGCATAGGGCAAGTAGTTGGCAACGCCACAAACTAGTTTTATTTTACGCGCTGCCTCGGAAGTCTCCACGTTGAGCGACGCATGGTGAGTGCAGTGTGTGTGTAAAGGAGATAGCTATTGAAAAAAAAACCCGACGTATACGTGTGTATGTACATACGAAACAAAATTTACTGCTGCTTGCGGTGCCTTATGCAGGGGCTACACACACATACACAGCACACGCACACAATTATAAGCAAGCGTATTTTGCGTACTGCGTAAAAATGGCCGAAACATTTTCCTTGACGGCCAATTGTCACAAACCAAGCATTTTTATTTAACAATTACTTTATACTCGAACTCTGCCAATTTCAATAAACTTACATTTGGTGTTTGCAATAGCCATTTGAGCTCTCGCCGCTTAAAAAATACTTCTTACATACTTTGCACACACGCGCACATTTTGTTTTACTAATACTGTTTAATATTCGAGTTTCTCTCGTAGTTCGAAATAATGAAAGACACTCTTCTTGTTTTTTTTTTTAATCCATCCGTGTAGTTTGTACAATCGAAAAATATATCGTTTTTCTTTTGCTCATCACCAATGTAAACGTCGATAACCATAGACTGTAAGGCATTACCAGCGCAAACAAAAAAATATAGTCACATATTTAAAAAAATCGATATATTCATATATCGACGCTAGCAACGTCTCCCGCATTTTTCATTTCAAACACAGCAACGCATTACTTAATACTTAAAATTGAACAGACAATTAAATCAACTTGCTATGGGCACAAAAGCTACTAAAATGGAGGGCAGCTACTTGCCCGACACACCAACACTAAACAGATTGCGCATTGCAGGTGCTGCTGTTCCGCAACAATCAATCAAGATGTCGACTTCTCCTTGCCGTGACAACAATTCGCTGCTCGATCCACGCTCACCAAACATCTGCCGTACGCCGCTGAATGTAAGTTAACTAGATATAATATTATATCTAATTAATCGGGCTTTGCTGTAGATATTGCCGACTCAGCCACCCGTAAGTCAGATACTCCCCCAGATGGCGTCTTCTGGCGTTGGCAGCGAAAATACTTTTACGCAGCTGCGCAAGCGCTTGCTTAAAGGCTTTTCGTTGAATGATCCACGCTCGCCACAGCTGAATCGCACGCCTCTTATGCTCGATGCGGCTATTGATCGCACGCTCAACATGGATGACACCTTTTCCGATCTGTTTGTGGAGACGCGGGCGCCAGCCCCTGCTCCAGTTGTGCCCGCTGCTGAGCAACCGAATCTGAGTCACAATAACAGCTCAGTGGAGATAGTGTCGCTGCCGTACGATGAAGAGGAGACAATGCCCTGCGAAATGATGCTGCAGCAAACGCCGCCTTTGCCAAGCCACGATCCGCGCTCGCCCAGCGTTGGTGTTGAGCGCACGCCCATTATTTTCTGCGACGATGATGAGACTGAGGCGCGCGATACGCAAATGCTTGAGGAGATCCTAGAAACGCTGACGCTTAATCTCAGCAATGAGAGCAGCATGGCCTCGTTTGTGAGTGCCTCTGCAGAGATGACGCTAGATGAACCGCAGCCACAGGAACAGACACAGGAAGAGCCCCAACTACAGCCTCGCCCCCCGGCCAACAAACATTTGGAACGTGTGCGTTTGGGCAACAAGCGACGCGTTGCGCCACGCAAGCCGGCTCGTGCCAGCAAGCCGAAGATTTATGTGGATGCGCCTGAGGGCCTGACGAGCACACCGAAGAGTACGCCCGATTCGGCACAGCGCACACAACGCACGCCCCTGAGCTGTGTCAACAAGAACCGCATCCATTTGCGTTCACGTTCAGTGGAGAAGGATCTACGCAAGCCGCAGCTGCAGCTGCCGCTGCAAAGCTTCGATGATCAGCTCAATCCCAGCGAGCGGCTCAATGTGCCCAGTCTACGCCTGCTCATGTCGGGCAACTACGAGGGCTAGTGTTAATCATCTTTACTAATCATCTTTAGTAAATTAATTGCCTTCATTATCATTTACACAGCCCACCAATCAATTACAGTTATAAGTGCATAAAAATATATATTATAAAAGATTTGCTATAAAAAATATTCTTGCAATGTTAAGGCCACAGAATTAGCTAAGCTTGAGCATAGCCAACAGTTGATCGATTATATGCTCTCCGCTCTCCTCGTCCCTGTCGTTTGCCAGCACAAAGTCAAAGGCGCTGTCATCCAAATCACATTCGGAGGGTTCATCGTCGACGCCGGCGGTAAACTTCCAGCCCCTCGCCTTACGCGTTTCCGGTAGCGAAGTCAGCCGCAGCGTCTCCACCATATCGGGGCCGTAGGTCTCGCGAAACCAGCGTATGTCGTTCTTACGGCGGATATCGCTGACAATGACGTAGTCTACATTTTGCAAAGCCGCTTGCTGCATGGCCGCACGGCAGAAGAAGCCGTAGTCGCGCCTGCGCACCTCATCACTCCAAATGATCATGTCGCGTCTATATTGCTCCTTGTAAGGCCCATCACTGAGCATGGCGTTAATATCCAGCTGCAGCTTGCGGGCCCATTCCCGCTTGATGGGCTCTGAGATGCGTACGATCAGGGCCCGGTCGGCTAACCTGTTTAAGTGTTATAAATCCTTCAACTTCACGCATTCTTTGTCAATACTCACCGTTTTTGTAGCCTTTCTGAAATGAAATCCTTGCCGCATTTGCGTTTTCCACTAATAAGTATTATTTTTTGCATAATCTCAATTAACAACTTTCTCTTTTCGCTGCGCTCACAAATCACTTGGTGCACCACAGAGCTGGCTGCTTATTTGCCTGTGACTTAGGGCCAAAGTCATTATGAGTTGTTTATTCCATTGTACTTATGTTAATTTTGATCTCGGGCTGATTCAATTTAAATTGTTTACAATTGCTTTTTGGCTGCTGCAGCTGACGACGAAACTTATCGTTACGCCACAATCTTTCGATAACGATAATTGGCAGCGGACCAGTTTGAAAGCTGCGCCCAAGTCCAGTACGCTGTTAAAAGTGAAGCGGAAATCGAACAAAAAATCGATTGAATTAATGCACACTTTCGAAAATCCATAATCGGCATAACACAAACTATACAATTTGGGTTCCATATACAACTGTTTATTTGTACTAAATTAAATATTAATTTCATGCAAAAGTGTAGATTCTGTCCATTTTATTTTATCTATAGTATTGCGCTTGCTGCCAGTTGCTGCTTGTGCTGCTCGCCGTATTGCCGATCTCGTAGCCGCTTGTCAGCTGGGCGGAATTGCCTATATTCATGTTGCTGCCTGTTCCTGCAGCTGTTCCGACACCAGATGCACTGCCACCGCTCGCTGCACAATTTGAGCCAACTACCGTGCTGCCGGGAGTAGCGCCCGGTGTGCCTCCAGCACTGCCAAATGTGGCTAACACGCTGCTGTAGTATGAAGCATCTGCCACGGACTCGGACTGATGTGTGCCCTTCTTAAGGGTCTGATGCAGTGAGGCTTTGCCCTGATGACAGTCCTGGGCGTTCGCATTGTTGATGCGCGCTAAATTGGCCTGCGTTAGTGTCGAGTGTGTGTGGACGGCGGTTCGGTCAGACGATCCCGGTGGAGGTATTGAGCCAATGCTGCCGACCGAACCGCGCGCCGTTGAGCGTTGCTGCATAAGGACAGCAGCAGCGGAGGAGGTGGCAGAGGGTTCGGATAGCTGCAAGGGCAAGCATTAGACAGAGAGCATAGTTAGGAGCCATAGCAACTACTCGCCTTGCGCTGCTTATGCAACTCCAGGCCGCTCATTTCCGTCAGCTTTGGCTCAACGCCCGAGGATGTAGTCAGCGGCGGCTGTGCCACGTGCCTGTGATTGATGTGCGCCTGCAGATCGCGTTGTGATAAATACGTGCGGCGACACCCGGTGCTGCCGTACCGACTGCCACCGTGCGTGCACATAAACACAGTGCCCAAGCCAGATTGCTCCACGCGCAGGACCTTATCATTGCAGCGCGGACAGCTCTTGATGGGCTCGGCCCGGGCGCATTTTAGGCAGAACACATGCTTGCAGGGTATCATGCGGCCATAGACGAGTATTGGCTTGTCGCACTGGTCGCAGCAATGTATCATCGGGTTAAGCACCTTCTCGCCAATGAGGCTTACTTTGTGGTTCCACTTTAGGCGCAGCATTGGCTCCGGTGGGCCCCGCGACAATGTCGTAAACGTAGGCGCCTCCAGCTGTGATATATCTGCTTCCATATCAACTATAAAAACGTAAACTAATGCATTTCCAGTTAATCAACAAATATAAAATCTTACTTGTTTGTGGCAGCACCTGTGGTGCTACTTGCTGCTGCTGCTGAGGCGGCGGCAGTGATTGTGGCGGCGTCCTGTCCTCAATGGGAGTTGCTTGCTCCTCGGCTACTGTTGCTGCCTCTATTTCGTTTTCTTTGTCCAAATCTTGCATAACAGCATCTTCTACATGTTCCATGCTGGTTGGACTGTCCTCCACTGCCCCGGTGCTTGACGCCACGGCATTTGCAACGCCAACTCCACTTTCGTATATGTCCAGCGCACTGCCAGTCTCATCAACTTTCTTACCGCGGCCCCGTCCACGACCACGTCCTCGGCCACGTGCACGTGAACCACGACCACGGCCCCGACCGCGTTTTACTTCATCATTGTCCATTTTAAACTTATACAAATATTAAATTATTTCAGATATTTATTTTCTTTGCTGCTGCCGCTGTTGCTGGTCTTTCGACGATTGGCCGATTATTCTTCTTTGTGCATTTTCGATAAAACAGCGACAAACTTTGTAGGGCTGCATTTATATATCGATAACCAAAAATCTATCCGTTATTTTGCATGCATATAAATTCTTTTTATCGAAGCTCATATACTTTTTTGTTAATTACAAAGGGCATAAAAATAAAGTTTAAAATATTGACAGATCTGAAATCCACAAAATATATCAGTAAACTGATTAAGTACTTAGTTGAAATTCCAATAATCAATCGAACTCTCTTCATAAAGGGGATGGTTGCAAGAAACTGCTTAATATCTACATGGATCGCCGTTATAAGAATTCAAATAATATTCATTGTTATAAAACATGCGCAAAAATTTCCAACCTACTTCTGTCCATTTTACATTTTTATTTTTTCGCAACAGTTGCATCAGCATAAACATCTCATAAAGGCGTCGGTAAAGTAATCTGTGCCTTTAAAAATAATTGATAATAATTTTCATGCAATATCAATAATAATAATGAGAAAAAGAAATATATGAAAAAAAAATGTAAATGTTAAGTAAAATTAAGAACTATGTTATCTTGTGGTTCAGTGAACTTGTTCACTTAACAAATCATGCTCTGAAATGTTTCTGCTAAACGTTAATGCTATGTAAATTAATTATTCTTGAACTCTTATAGAGCATTGTTTAAATTAAAAATGTTGCTAAATATTCGCAAATTAAGTCATATTTGAATTCATAAACCGTTAATTACAGTATATTACACTGATTTGAAACGTAAAATATTAAAATATTCCAGATACTGCTTGCTGTTAATAACATTATAGCGTTATGTTACGTTAACAGACAACTGTAAAATTCGTCAAAACACATGTTTTTTTTCAACGCGGTCTGAATAAAACGCAGAAACAAAGCCAAGACGCCTTAAAAACGTAATGGACATAGACGAGCTATTCGATTGCTTCAATGAGGTGCCGCCCGAAAGTCTGCAATTGCCGGTACCCTATCCCACAAGGAAAGCAAACCCAAGCGCGTCTGAAACAAAAAGCCCGGAAAGCGCCCGGAAGGCCAACAAACGTGATGCAAATACTGTAGATCTTACCACCGAGGAGCCGACGGCGGATGGAGGGGAGGAAGAGCATGCAAAGCGACAACGTGTTAATGAGGGAAAAACCGAAAACAGCAGCGACATAAACCAGGAGACATCAAATATTGTTGACGATGAAACAGAAGGTTTCGTTAAAAATGAAAAAGATGACGAAGTTAAGGAACTGGACGATTGTGCTTTGGAGGCGCTGCGGGTGCGCATTGTCACACACCAGCTGGTGTCGCCAGAATCCTGCACACACGAGGTGGCCGCCCATCCCGACCAGGAGTACATACCACTGCAGCCATTTGCGGGCGTTCCCGCCAAGGAATATCCATTCGTGCTGGATCCATTCCAGAAACAGGCCATATTGTGCATAGACAACTCACAGAGCGTGCTAGTATCGGCGCACACCTCCGCCGGAAAGACTGTTGTGGCGGAATATGCGATAGCCAAGTCTCTGGCGGCCAAGCAACGTGTTATTTATACGACGCCCATTAAGGCGCTGTCCAATCAAAAGTTTCGCGAATTCACAGATGAATTCCAGGATGTTGGTCTGGTTACTGGCGATGTTACCATCAATCCATCGGCCTCCTGCCTCATCATGACAACAGAAATTCTGCGTAACATGCTGTACCGTGGCAGCGAGATTATGCGCGAGGTCGGCTGGGTTGTATTCGATGAGATTCACTACATGCGTGACAAGGAGCGCGGCGTGGTGTGGGAAGAGACGCTCATCCTGTTGCCGGACAATGTGCGCTATGTCTTCCTCTCGGCCACCATACCCAATGCTCGCCAGTTTGCCGAGTGGGTATGCCATCTGCACAAGCAGCCCTGTCATGTTGTCTACACGGATTACCGGCCAACGCCGCTGCAGCATTACATCTTTCCGGCCGGCGGTGATGGCATTCATTTGATCGTCGACGAGAAGGGTCAGTTCAAGGAGGACAACTTTACGACAGCTATGGCGGTGCTGGCCAATGCGGGTATTATACGCATATGTAAATAACTTTATTTATTTAATTGCTAATCCCTTTGCATTGTAGGCGAGGCGGCCAAGGGTGACCAGAAGGGCCGCAAGGGCGGCGTAAAGGGTCACAATTCAGGCCAGACGAACATCTTTAAGATTGTCAAGATGATTATGGAGCGTCACTTTGCGCCCGTCATCATTTTTTCGTTCAGTAAAAAGGACTGCGAAGTCTATGCCATGCAAATGGCCAAGCTGGACTTTAACACAATCGATGAGAAGAAGCTGGTCGATGAGGTTTTCAACAACGCCATGGACGTTCTTTCAGAGGAGGATCGCAGACTGCCACAGGTGGAAAATGTGCTGCCATTGCTGCGACGTGGCATTGGCATACATCACGGTGGACTGCTGCCCATACTAAAGGAAACGATTGAGATTCTTTTTGGAGAGGGTCTGATCAAGGCTCTCTTCGCCACGGAGACCTTTGCCATGGGCCTGAACATGCCTGCGCGCACAGTCTTGTTTACAGCGCCACGCAAATTTGATGGCAAGGACTTTCGGTGGATCAGCTCGGGCGAGTACATACAAATGGCTGGACGTGCCGGGCGTCGCGGCTTGGACGACAAGGGTATTGTTATACTGATGATTGATGAGAAGGTGTCACCTGTGGTGGGCCGTGAAATAGTGCAGGGCAAAGCAGATACCCTAAACTCGGCGTTCCATTTGACCTACAACATGGTACTGAATCTACTGCGCGTAGAGGAAATAAACCCGGAGTATATGCTGGAGCGGAGTTTCTATCAGTTCCAAAATCAGGCCGCACTTCCCGGTCTACATGATCAAGTGCAGGAGAAGACACAACAGCTCGAAAAGCTGACCGTCAAGGATGAGCATAACATTGCGTCCTATCATCACATCCGCGAACAGCTCGAGTTGAATGGGAATAAGTTCCGCGAGTGGCTGACCAAGCCGCAATATCTGGTGCCCTTTTTACAGCCAGGCCGGCTGGTCAAGGTGTCAGCCGGAAAGCAGGAGTATGACTGGGGTCTTGTATTGAACTTCAAAAAGCAGGAACAGAATCGCAAGAATCCATTGAAAAGTGAAACGGCAGTTGTCATTGATATGCTCCTGCATGTCAGCGAGGAGGCAGCCAAAACTGGCGACACCGAGCCCTGTAAGCCCAATGAACGTGGCTGCATGGAGGTCGTTCCGGTTGCCAATACACTTATCACCCAAATCAGTTCTATACGCGTTTATTTTCCCAACGATCTGCGCACTGCGGACAATCGCCGTGCCGTGCTGAAGACCATTCAGGAGGCTAAGAAACGATTTCCACTTGGTCCACCCGTACTTCATCCCATCGACGATATGAATATCAAGGATCCGGAATTTCGCCAGATTGTGGATACAATTGCACAGTTCGAGACGTTGCTCGAGGAGCATCCGCTGCACAAATCGCCAGAGCTGGAGCGTGTTCACAAGCGCTATATCGAAAAGCTAAAGCTACAATCCGAGCTCAATGGTCTGAAGGCGGAGCTGAAGGCTGCCCGCAGCCTGCTGCAAATGGACGAGCTTAAGTATCGCAAGCGTGTACTCCGGCGCATGGGTTACTGCAAGCCAGGTGATGTCATCGAGTTTAAGGGCCGCGTCGCCTGTGAGCTAAGCTCCGCGGATGAGTTGCTCATCACCGAAATGATATTCAACGGCGTGTTCAACGAGCTCTCAGCCCCGCAGGCGGTCGCATTGCTCTCCTGTTTCGTATGCGACGAGAAGTCCAGTGAGTCGCCCAAGAGCGCTACAGAGCTGTCCGGCCCGTTGCGCTCTTTGCAGAGCCTGGCGCGGCGCATTGCCAAGGTATCCACCGAATGCAAACTAAGTTTGGATGAGGACAACTATGTGGACAAGTTCAAGCCTTTCCTAATGGACGTCGTGCTGGCCTGGTGCAAGGGCTCCAGTTTTCTAAGCGTCTGCAAAATGACCGATATCTTCGAAGGCTCCATCATTCGCTGCATGAGACGTTTGGAGGAGCTGCTGCGTCAGCTGTGCCAGGCATCCAAAACGATTGGCAACACGGATCTGGAGAACAAATTCTCCGAAGGCATTCGTCTGCTTAAGCGCGACATTGTCTTTGCCGCTTCGCTGTATCTGTAGATTAGTTTTCGCCCAATTTTGAAAAGCTTATTAGCATTAAGCAAAATACATGGTTTTTCTTTTTAAAATGTATTTTTCATGGAACACAAGACGTAGAACACATGCAGGACATTTCACAAAAGATAAACTATTTTATTTTACGGATGAAATGGGAAAAATACACACAAATATTATACACTACAATGATTATAAATGTAAATGTATTTCCTATGTTTTCGCACATGTAATCAATAGCTCCTAATTAATTATAGTACATACTTAATATAAACACGCTTCACATGAAAACATAAAAAATATTGGACGGTTCACACTGATTTGTATGGTCGTTGATTTCTATATATGCGACACATAAAACATACATATAAAATATATAACTGCCAGTTTATATAATTATAGCACTAATACAAAATATGAGTACACAAACTTATCACTAAGCTAGATCCATTTAGAGCAAGGCACTTGTTCTTTCATTTTTTGATAATATGAACATTTATGGGTATATTGACAACACAATAACATGTAAAAAATGATCCAACAACTTGAAGAAACTTCGTTTTGGGCGATTCAGTTTTATTATGCGTAAGTATTGTACAATTTGTATTAAATAATTTTATTTTGATGGCGTCTACTAAAGCTGCCCCTAGACTAATGCTTATTCATTTAAATTGGTTCACCAGTATCTATTACATACCTTGACTCTTACTCAGGTGACAGCATTAGGAAAATGTAGAGCTTACAATTATGAACTTAGTCTAAATGTTGTCGTATATATATATAAATATGTATGTACATTTCAAGGCCCCGCCTCACGGGAGGTCTCTGGCAAAAGGGCCACAACTAATCTACGGAATGTCATTGATATGGATTCGTATTCGTTGGGTTATCGAACTTAGAAAATATGGGAAAATAATAAAAAAAAAACACAATTGTCAAATTTAAAATTACAAACACAAATAATTATAGCTGCACTTACGGGCTCAAGAGATCTTTTAGATCTGTGTAGTCATAAAGTATAAATAATATAAAACTAGGAATAAAACAAAAGCTACAATCTAAGATACGATTAATTCTCCAGGTGTGCTCCACTAAAAGAAAGCTGTTGGCGGGCAGCCATTAAAATGCATTCGATCGAAATGGAAATAAGGTGTGAACTTACCCTAATGTCGAAATTTGTCAGATTTGGTTGATTGTTCATTGAAAGGGCTATGTGGATTCTCTCTAAGCGCATCCCGCGCTTAGAGAGCGGTTACTTAAACAGATGTCTGGGGCACGCCCTCGACCAGCTGCGTTCGACGCGGCTGCACCGCTGGCTGTGCTGTCAGCGTGGCTGTTGTCGTCGTGGTGCGCGCCGAGGGCACGGGCGTGGTGCTCCGACTGCTGCTGGCAACGCTGGGTGTAGCTGCCACCCGCTTCGTTGGTTCCGCCTGCAGCTGCGCCACGGGCGTGCTTGAGAGGGGCTGCAGCAGGCGCTTCTCCTCGATGGGTGCCGCTTTGACCGATGTTCCATTTGTCTGGGAGCGCGGGGTGGCTGCGCGCTCCGACTTAACCAGACTGCCATTCGTCTCCTTGAGCGAAATGCCCGACTTAAGTGAAGCCTGGCTGCCGGACTTTTGGGTCATGGCCAGGGAGCTTGGCGAACGCAACGAGGTGGTATCCGTCTGAGCCTTGCTGGCCAGCGTTTTGGTCGATGGCGAATCTCTGTACTCGTATATGTTGTCCCGCGAGCGCAGCGCATGATGATTGGTTACCATGTGGGCATTGTCCACGCCACGTGCATCCGGCTCTGGCTCCATGCCCTCACCATTAATGAAGACATCTTCGTCATAGAAGCGATCCGATTGTCTGTGAATTGCAAGTGTCAGAGTTTTCCTTCAAGAGAACTACCCAACTTACCGCTTGGCATTGCGCCACATAATGCAGCAGATGACGACCAGGACGATCAGGAAGAAACAGGCAACCGACATGCTCCAGAAGGCAATCTGCAATGGCTCCTTCGGTTCCCACCAATACTCCGTGGTGGGCGGATAGGTCGGCACCAAGACTCCAATAACCGTCGGCAAATACTGTGTCCAGAATGCGCACTCCGTTTGTCGATAATTGAGCAGGATCGAGGAGTTGTAGGTGGTGTTAATGTTCAGGTAACGAATCTCCCCTTGATATGCGCGCTGAAAGTGCATACCCAGCACCTGTTGTGGCGTTGGGTTGCTACACGGCAAGTTTGAGAAGGATTAGTAAGACATCAGTTACCAAGTGTTTGCCTCTATTACTTTGGGAACTCTCTAAAGTAAGGCTAAAGGGACTTTTCAATCAGTCAATCAGTCGATCAGTCATTCAGTTAGTCAGCCGGTCAGTCCGTCAGTCAATCAGTCAGTCAATCAGTCATTCAGTCAAGTCAGTGAGTCAGTCAATCAGTCAGTCAGTCAGTCAATCAGTCAGTCAGTCAATCAGTCAGTCAGTCAATCAGCCAGCTAGTTAATCAGTCAGTCAATCAGTCGATCAGTCATTCAGTTAGTCAGCCGGTCAGTCCGTCAGTCAATCAGTCAGTCAGTTAATCAGTCAGTCAGTCAATCAGTCAGTCAGTCAGTCAATCAGCCAGCTAGTTAGTCAGTCAGTCAGCCAATCAGTCATTCAGTCATTCAGTTAGTCAGCCGGTCAGTCAATCAGTCAGTCATTTAATTAGTAAGTCAGTCAATAAGTTAATCAATCAGTTAATCAGTCAGTTAATCAGTTAGTCAATCAGTCAGTCAGTCAGTCAATCAGTCAGTCAATCAATAGATTTACTGATTCTCTTCACTTACCCGTATCTGGCAAAGTTTGAATAAGTCTGCATGAAAAAGTGGCTCATATTGCGATCGTTGTCCGTCCACATGTTGCGCTGCAGGTGTTCCTTCTTAGGAAAGAACTCAGTGTCCATGAAGGGGGCACCGGTCAGAAAGTAGTGCTCCGTGTCATGTGGGTATTTGCGCCATTGCGGCAGATTCAGTGCCTCGACAGTGGTGTTCAGCACATACATATAGACGGGAATCTTCTGCTCGAGCAGCAACTTGACCATTTGGTCAACGGGCGCACGATAGTAGAGATCGCTCAGCATGTTGATGTACTGATCGCGTATGATGGTGTTGTTGTTGGGATCCGGCCAGTAGGTGTACATGTACTTAATGGCCTCGTAGACACCATTCGGATTCAGGGTGTAGTTATAGCGGAAGACATGCTCGCGCACCTTCTGCTCGAAGAAGCGATTGTCCAGCTCAAAATATGGCGCCAGAGATTCATTTTGTGCCACAAAGAAGGCCGCTTCCTGTGTGGTTACGCCCGTCATGTACTGTATGTTGCGATTGAATCGTCCACTGCGTATCAAGGTTTCGGGTGTTTGGGTGAGAAAGCGCCAGTCCTTCTCCCGCCAGCCCTCGTACCAGTCGTCGCCGGGCAGCGTGAAATTGTGATCCAGCACCGGACCCCAGGGGAAACTGCCGACCTGGGGCGGGAACTCCGCATTGCCCAGCTCGTAGAAGCTGCGTCCAGTGCGCAGACAGTTGACTAGCTTCCAGGACGAATCTATTGAGCAGCCCAGCACTTGGCCCAGCACACGGCTCGTGTTCTGCGCCCGGTACTTATCCTGGATGAGTGCCCAATCAGCCAACGCCGAGCCCGACTGTGCAATCACGCGCTTCACTATGTTCCGCGTTTGTGGTGCCACCATCAAAAGCCCGGCGGAGGCGCCACCAGCTCCAGGTCCAAACAATGTAATCGAGTCGCGGTCCCCATTAAAAAACTCAATGTTATCGTACACCCATTTCAGTGCCATTGACTGATCCAAGATGCCATAGTTGCCCGGCGAATTCTCATCGCCCGTGGAAAGAAAACCCAAAGCGCCCAGGCGGTAGTTCAGGGTCACCACGACCACATCATAAAATGAAGCCAACACATGGCCCGGAAACAGATTGGAAGCGCCGTGCACGAACTCGCCGCCGTGTATATAAACCATAACCGGATATTTTTGGGCGACGCCAGCACCAGTCTGCAACAGATAATATGAAGGATAAAAAGTTTATATAGATCAATCTTTTTACATATATTAAATTATATTACGATTCGGTCAATTTGCTATCTTGGGTAAAAAGCGTCAGATTTTAAATAGTCTTTTTGAATTCGTACGGAACTCCACAATCAAATAGCTAATGATTTAATCGGGGGGTTATATAAAAGTTTTCAATAAAAAACGTTTCGGTCAAATCCTTTTTTGATGCCTTTTTGGAGTGTCTCAGCCAAATATTGTCCAATTATGGAATGATGTAAATTTTCGGACTTGTAAGGATCAGTACTATCGATCAGTACTAAAGATTAACAATCGGGGGGGTATATAAAAAATGTTGGCGAAAATATTTGCGAGTCTTATATATAAGGTTATAGTTCGGACATGTTAAAAAACGAAAATGCGGAACTTGAGGAAAACATCTTAAAACTGTTTCTTTGTTAAAATTTTTTTTAATATTCAACCTATTTGTTGTGTTGCGATCTTAATAAGATTTGGCTTTTACTTCGTAGTTTAACTAGGAAGCGACAGGTTTTTGGTCAACATCTCTTGATAACAAGAAAAGTTGTTCATAGAAGAACTTAGTTTTCGACCGATTGTTCCCTTGGTAGCTTTATGATATAGTAGACAAATATTGTTTCCCTATGCTTGGGAAACTAACATATGGCAAAGTTGGTCGAGATATCTTAAAAAACAAAAATCTTGTTCTTACAAGAAACTACTTTTCAACCGATCGTTTTTTTTTTAGCAGATATTTGATAAAGTGCTCTGATGTTAATAGAATTTCGATAAGATATAATAGGCCGACCCGGCTGGCTCCGATATATGTACTGCCTTCAAAAGACAGACGGACCTATACAAAGTTTTAAGACAATGTCTTTAGGCTAATTTGCATGGAAATAGAAATAGACAGACAGAGAGGCAGGCTATATCAATTCGCCTGTCTATATCCTGTCTGATCTACACATTCTATTAAAAAATATATATAATATGTTACCCTCTACAAAGGGTATACAAAAATATTCCATCTAATAGTAGTTTGCAGAAAAATGTTATAAAATATTTGGGAACTAACCTTCGGCGAATATACGTTCAGATAGAGGCAATCTTCGTCCATGTCCATAACACCTTTGGTGGCACCTGTGTAGCGCACCGGCTGTGGACATGCTGGGCCGAAGTCCACGGCCTGGAGCAGCTGCCAGCCACGGTGCAGGCGCGGCGGCTTGAAGCGTCCCTCAAATGTGGGCGGCAGGGCGTAGGGAATGCCCAGGAATACGGAACACTCGCCCATTACACGGTCCACGGTGGAGTGATAGGGTCTGTAGAATGATTTGGGATCGGGATTGTCGTACATATAGACCTTGAAGCCCTGCACTTGTCCATAGTTGGTTGTGACGAATACATCACGTTCCAATGTCAGCGAATCGCGTCGCTGTTTGCCCTGCAAATCCTCACGCCAGCCGGCCAAGACGCCCGGAAACTGCGTCCGAGCATTGGGATCGTTCTGTAATTGAGTTTGGATAAAGATTATGGATAATGCATTTGGTTATTGCGAGCGGTTGGGAAACATGTGTAATTGATTATGTCGCAGTCGCCGCCATGAAAACCTAATTAAGATTATTGCCTCGATATTACGGAGACGAGTGCGAATCACTCAGAGCTCCGCTCAATGGCTGCTCATTGTTCATAAATGGTGCGTTCTTAATTTCTTAGGCAGCTGTGGGGTTCAACTCTAGTGTCATGAACTTAATTGATTAGGACTGGCGTCAATTGATTGATCGGCCATTCTCACTCACCGGATCGAAGCGAAAGCGATCCTCGTTGGGCATACCCTGTGGATACTGGCCGGGCGGATTCCTGCCCGGATAATTGGCGCCATAGCCATTCGGTTGATAGTGTCCGTAGCGTCGATCGTTGAACGTGTATGTTCTAAGAGTCAAGGTTTTATTTATTTATTTATTTGCTGGCGCACTTTCGTTTTGCTCACCTGTAGTCCGGATCGCCGGGATTGGGCCATTGATAGTCTACACCGACACGTGAATAAAAGCGCGGATCCCGAGTTTGTGCATCGATGGACTGCGGCACCATAAGTGCCATAAGCATGGCCAGTAAACATTTCAATTTGTCGCGATACTTGAATTTCTGTGCCATTTTAATCTACAAGAGTCGATAAAAACAAGTGTGAGACTTTAGTCGGGAGTTTCCGACTAGCAAATACCCTGAACCCTTTTCTATCAACACCAAGAGCATAATAATAAATTTACAAAAATTTATTTAAATAAAACATGTTAAGCATGTCAAGCTTGGTGACGCTAGCTTTAAAAATGTGAAAGATTTGCTAAAAAAAAGTTATCGATTATTAAAAAGAAACTCGTACAGCGGGGGCACTAGGAAGAACCATATTAAAAATATATCTCTAGCTTTTAAAGGTTCTGAGATCCTTGCGTTCTTATATACGGACGGATAGACGGACAAGGACGGATCGACTCAGCTATTGATGCTGATCAAGAATATATATACCTTAAGGATAAAAGGAAGCAAATTTTTAGCTAATTTACTCTAGTTGCGGATGGAACACAGCGGAAGTTTGTATCCAAATCTGTGACGCCTATTTCGTATGTAACATTCCTCACAAATGATTTTGAACAAAAACCTTTAAAAATGAGTTTAAGGTCGATTGGCTGCTAAACAACCCGCTTTCCGCACATGCGGGTAGAGTATACCAAAATCTAGGTACACCTCAGTTTCCAATCTCTTACGGTTTTGCCTCTGCGTTGATCTCCAATCAATCAATCAATCAGTCAGTCAGTCAGGAAAAACAGTTTTATATACAGAAATAGTTATGTTTAAAATAGACATTTTTAATTCAATCATACCCAAATCTACTTGGATAGATTCTTTGATACAATAAGGACTTCTTGAAGAAACTTTACAACAATAATTTAATTATGATTTAATTATCACTTTTTTCTTTTGTTTAGATCAGATCAAACTATCTGAGAGCTGAGTAAGAGTGACCGAACTGGTTTTTAAATTACGTTAGCTCTGTTACTCGCACATATTTCCATAGATACTCATACTTGTACAAAATTGTTTGTATCATTTGTATGTGTTATGGCCAAGTGTGAGGCATGCGTTAGAAGCAAGAGACCAAGACACATAGAAACCAGTTTATGCGGCCACATTTTAATGAAAAAGATACGCTAAAAATAAGTTACAGCATTAAATGCACATTGTGTGTTATTTTAAATTCATTTTAATTTAAATTTAACCAACTGTTAAGAGTTGTTGGAATGAGGTCAACAGCGATTATCTCCGTTTCTTGTAGAAGCTAATTAATTAATTAGCTAATTGAAAAACGGGATAAAAATGATTTATTTACAGGATCTAGAGCTGCAGCAACAAGGTGCTATTCTATATGTTCACACTTAAAATAGTTTAAATTTAGCTTGATAAGTAACTTTTACTCAAATATAAATTGAAACATATGTATGTTTATCCATAAAAGCTCGGAACCTAAACATTTTACTAGAGTAACTTTATGTTTATCACATGGTTTTTAGAAAATTTCACCCACAAGTGTGGAAAAACCGTGAAATAAGGTGGTTGCAATCCATGGGATCGATCTACAATTAATTTTTTTTTGGCGATTTTTGCTCAAGTTCATTTGGGAGAAATCATACTTTTTGCAATATTCACTCCTCTTCCTTTTATGGCGAAATTTTAAGATTCGTCCGATCGGCCAACCATAAAAACTTTGAGCGATTTTAAAAGTTGAACATGGCGCTTTTATGAAAGACTACTAAGTCATTTTTAAAGATTTTTGTGGACATTTACTTGAGACGTGTTTGAAACTTTTCGCAAAAACAAGGTCAAATGTTGAATGGATGAAAATTCTTGGCCTTCAATATGCATATTTCTTAATTTGATGGACTTCGAACTCATTTTCAAATGCCAATTTTAAGTTTATCTTGAGACATGCATAAATACGTACAAATTTAACATTTTAAATTTGAGGCGCAGACAAAGCCGGGGAATATACACTAGTGTATATATATATTGAAACCCGAAGAGACTGAAGGCCATTCCGGCCATATATGGAATATAAGTATATTCTTGAGGAGGACGACAAGCTCCGCCGATTTGCCTGTATGAACACTTCGATCTTCGTTCAAAGGACCAGAAGCTCATAATAATTCTCTCATCTATAACTAATTTATTGTTCGATATCTTCTAAGAAGAGCTAAGAACAGCATATTTGGAATGTGTGTACTCGTGTAATATAAATTAGATATATTTACTTTTTATGTGAGTTTGTGTCTCAATTGTTATAGGTTTGCAGTTTGGCTTTTTCTTACAGCGATACAAATTTTAGTTAAAAATCGAATTCCTCCAGAATTTATATTAATAAATTAAAAATGGAGAAAGCTTTAGACTATGTTACGTTTTAGTAGATGGATATGGCACCTTCATCTATTTTACGTAATGTAATGTGACAGTATTTCGACAGATCCTAGAGCCCATTTCTAATATATGTACATATGAGCGATATGTATATGCAGATCCAATAATAAAGAAGCAAATGTCGAAAATTAAGTAAGATTTAGAGAAAAGTACCATGCCTTGTGCTACATCATTGATCTCCCGATTTGTACAACATTTATGGATTGTAAGGGTCAAAACGAAAAACCTACTTTTCTTTCATTAATTCAATGCCAACATTTCGAGAAACGTAAACTATCAACTAATAATGACAAATGACAAAAATGTAACATTCAGAAAAATGTCTGAAATGTACTTCACCAACATGTGCTCCCATTATCGTATCAGAAGCAGCAACAACAAAATGTGAGCTTCACTTTGGAAATGTTATTGCAAAGTTTCAAACGACGTCAACATTCAACATCACGAAAACTGGCACAAGGACTCACACAGACACATACACAAGTTGTTGTTGTTGTTGTTGTTGTTGTTGCATGTTAAATGAAAAGTGCATTAACCTGCCGACGCTGTCGACTCGGGTTACGGCGTTAACCTCGCCGTGTTGCGTTGTCTTCTTCTTCTTCTAGTATCTTGCTGCTGGTTACGGCTTGTTCTTAAAAGTGCGGAAATGCAAACGCCTGCACAAAATGTGGAGTGCTGTCACCCTTTCGCAAATGATTTGCCAAAAACGAAAGAAAATAAATGCTTGCGGGAACTTTTATATCAAATTACACGTTTTTGTGTTGTTTCTTTTTTGTTTTTAGTGAATCACATTTACTGCTGTTAGTTTTTATTTTCGCAATCGCAAAGCAAACAGAAAAAAATAAAACGCAACGATAATGTTGAAAGTGAAGCGTTTGCAGGTGCCGTTGTTGTGTGTGAGTGTTTCATGTGTGTGTGTGTGTTGCGTCCATATACGTGCATGTGTTAGTGTTGGCCCACTGCGCGGCGGCAGTAATATTGTTGTTGCTGCTTCTTCTTAATCTCACTTATTTTACAGTTATGCTCCAAATGATGACGTCGCCGCCGCACTAGTTGTTGTTGTTTTTTATTTTTGCCTTTGCGCTTTATCTAATCTTAGCCCTTCTCTGTGTGTCCCAACAACATTTGCACTCAATTGGCTTTATACGTTTGTTAATGATTAATTTTTCAGCTGCGAGCCACAAAATTATTAACTTTCTTTGTGTACGCGCCAACGCCCCGAAATAAAACAAACACGGTTTACGAAAACGGCGAAGAAAAACGTAAACGTAATGAAATGACCGTTTTTAGTTGTAAGCCAGGGCTCAGGTAGAGAACCAGAGCCAGTCAAACGTCAAAATGCGAGTCGGGCCCGGAGCAGCAGTAACTAGGGGTACACTAATACATGCATACGCACAATACCAATGCAGTTGCACGCACACGCAGTACACTGAAGGTGGTTTTTGGCTTTGTTAACACACACACACACACACATGTGCACAGCACACTCACACACACACACATGTAAAGAGGCTTACGTGTTACCAACAGTTGCTTTAACTCAGAGAGCTGAGTGAATTTTGTACGAGACGCGCGCAGCTTTTAGCTTGCACAACCGACGCTCACGAACGTTACAATCAAACTAAAGCGGCAAGTGGCTCTAGCATTCTCCACTAACCTGCCACTCTCGGTAAGCGAGTGTGGGTGCAAGAAGCAGATAGAGAACGGGAGAGACAGAGAGAGTTGTAGAGAAACGGTAACGCGGAGAGAAAAGAGAGCCACAAAGATCTGTCCAAGGTAGAGTCGATTGATATAACAGAGATTCATACAAGACCAAATGCATCTTGGCAATTTTAAAATTATTCATGTGTTTTTTGGTTTGTTACCAAATTTTGATTGATACCGAAAGCTTTCCAATAACAAATTAATTTATTTATTCTAGCAATTGAATATTAATGGCGCAAACTTTCTAATAAGAACGCCAGTTTCATCTTGATATATTACAGGTAGGTAAAGAATTCGAACCTCTATTATTTTAAGATCTAGAAGTATGCTAGGTTCTCAATTTAAAATCATTGATATTTTGTTTGTGTAACTTAAATTTAGCTTCACTTCATATGTGTAGTTTATCAACCAGACTGTCTATTGATTCCTGAAATATGGATTTGAAATATGCTCGCCCGAAACTTTGTAAAACGTATTTTTAATTTTCAAAAACAAAAACACATTTGAAGCCCTTGACTTGATTTTGAAGCATATTAACCTAACCTATGACCCCACTTTGACGGAGTTCAAGAAGTCTCCAATTAAGAACGGCAGCCTAATAAAGATCTCCAAACTTAAGCTTAAAAACGTTGGAGATTGGGACGCTGCTGTTCAGAGTAAATGACGCAGCAATTGCACTGTATTACAATAAGTCGCGCTTTGCATAATTTCCTATTCTACCATTATCAAGAAAGTAATTCGTTTTCGTATATGTGTATGAGTGTGGTTGGAGAGGCGGCGGAGGGGTTGTGATTCATTCACCGTAATTGCAAACGCAAAGCGAAATAACAATTAAAGCCTGTTCACTTTTTGACCCCGTCATATTGAGTTGAAGACTCAGTGGCTTGGGCGTAGCTGACAATTTTAATTATAGCTGCCGTCGCTTCCGATGTCAAAGATGCGGGAAACAATTAGGGCACTTTGTTGATGGAGTTAACTTAGGTTGAATGTGGCACGCGTTACAACTTTACATGCCTATTCGGTGCTCGTTGCTTATTAATAAATTGCTTAAATGCTTATCAGCATTAAATATTATGTGAGTAAGCGCTTAAGACTACTAGAAACTTTGA